CCTGTGAAGTTGGCGCCTTGATGCAGGTACCTTGAAGATGAAGCTGGAGCTATGGCGCCACAGGTAAGTCTCCCTGGCCTCCGCCAGCCATCTCTCTCTCTCACCTCCTCTACCTCTACTAGCGCCCAGCGCTGAAGACTACTGCTACTGCTACTAGCGCCCAGCGCTGAAGACTACTGCTAGCGCTAAGCTACTCCTGCAACGCTCCTCCAGAGTGCTGCTGCTGAATCCTGAAGACTACTACTGCCTCGGCCTCTGACTGCCTCTGAAGTGCATGGGAACTCCCTATGTACTACTCGGCCTGCCTCCTCACTGCCTGCAGCTGCAGGGCGGGGAACTCCCATGCTCTTGCCAATGCCGAAGTGAGCCAGGGCCTGCCGATGCAGCTCCTGCTGAGGCTGGCATGGGGAACAGGCCAAAAATAGCCTGTTCCAAAACCCTGGTTTGGTGCCTGAGTGTTAGGGCAGGTCGATCTTATGAGGGCCCGAAAATGGCCCTCCGTTTCAGGCTGAAAGAACTCAGGGCCTGAAAGGCCCTGTTCTAGGCTGAAACAACATAGGGCCTGCAGGCCCTCGTTTTTCAGTCTTTCAGGCTGAAACAACACAGGGCTTGTAAGCCCTTGTTTCTAGGCTTTTAGGCTGCGACTGCGGGACAGGCCCTGCAGGCCCGTGTGGCTGCACAGTATGCCACACATACTCAAAAGGAAGACTCGACCCCTGCTAGCGGGACTTATAGCCCCTCGGGCCGTCAGTTTTGGTGGTCAGACCTCAAAGTCGCCGCCCCTTCAAGAAAGCAGAGATTAGCTTTTTTTTCTTCTGAATCGGCACTTCACCCAACCCACCCACATTTTTTTAAGTACAGCCCGCCCTAAAACAACAACAACAACAACAACAACAACAACAACAACAACAACAACATGTTTTTTCGAAAATTTCCTCCCACACCCAACCTGCCCGTCACCCATAAAAAACCTTCACCCACCCGTCACCCACCCATTCGGGTGACCCGGGCCTAACATTGACCCGCCCGTCACCCACCCAGGCTGGCTCGCCTGGACCCACCCTCACATCCCACCCATGGCAGCTTATCAAGAGCCACACCTGACCCAATGCCTCACGGGTGAGCTGGGTGCAGATGGGTGTGGGTCTGGGTATCCGTTGCTCATCCGTCCGCAAGAAAGCCAAAAAAAAGGGAAAAAAAGAGTTATCAACTTTCCAATACAAGTGACAAGTTTCCATCGGCACAGCATTGACATTTCAGAATATGTACCTACTTAAAAAAAAGAAAAAAAAACAGAACGTGTACCTACTTGAGGCTACTTCTAAATAACGGGCGACACGGTCGACAACATAGAAGAAACATATTGATTGAATCACATTCGGGGCATCCGTTAGAATTGGAATGATGCCTTCCCTCCGCCCCCCATTCCAGCACCCCCCCCTCCCATCCCGACCGGCTCTCCGCCTGCCACCCCTCCCCGACCACCGGAGTCTCTAAGGGGTGCACCGCCTCCTCTGCCGCCCCCCCCGCTCTCCTTCCCAGTGACATCCTCCCATTCCCCCGCTACCAGGCCAGCCGGGCCAAGCAATGTGCCTACAGAAGTTGAGGGTAACCAGTGGGAGGACAACGACAGCAGCATCCCGATATACTCACCGCTTCCTTACCTGAACGAATACGACCTCTCCTGGGGTGCAGGGGCWGGGGGAKGGATCCCAGAGCAGGTGGGCATGYGGAGGGAGACAACAATGGGCAACCTGCGACAACGGTCTCCTASTACCCCAGGGAATGGGMTGCGTTGATATAATGCAGCATACACAGGCAACCAAGTATTTAGGGCTCTCCTCTGGTACAGGGGCCAAGAGAGGGGCTCTACAACAGGACGGAAGGTGGTTGGGGATGATAATGGACAACCTGTGACAACGGACTCCTACTGCAGCAGGGGACGGACCACTCTGATAAAATGCTGCACGGATAGGGAACAGATCGGACTCCTACTACTGTAGGGGACGGACCACTCTGATATAATGCTGCACGGATAGGGAACAGATCGGAAGTGAAAACAAAACAGCAATCTTTGTACTGAACATTGTATCAAAGGGACGCTGGACCCGGTTTCCAGCAGGTGCTGCTCCCCACCAATAGATGGAGCCTACCCGACGGTGCTAGATGTGTCTGTACTGATCAGCACGCATAGCATTTGATCGGGTTGTTTTTTGTTGAAAAAAAAATAAAATAAAAAATAGAATTGGAATGATGCATAGAAGATCAGCATGGCCCCTGCGCAAGGATGACACGCATAAATAGAGAGAAATGGTCCAAAAAAAATCAACTGAAAAAAAGGAAAAAAAAGATAAACACGAGAGGGGAACCGACCGCATAGCTGCACTCCATGTGTTATTAACTTGTTAGGGATTAGCTTGGCTCCATACGGTGTGGCTGCTACCCGTCTTCCCCTGAATAGACCGTACAATCATTATAGTTCTATATATTTAGAGCAACTTTTGGCTTTCGATATAGCAATAAAGACAGGGTTGGTAGCAGGTGGATGATGGACGAAGGGAGGGCTCAATGTGAAGGACCGGACCAACAACCACAGCTACAAATCTATATCGGTGCATCTAGACTGGAAATTGCCCCAAATGTGTACCTATAATGTCGGGGTGTTCTATTCCGATGAATAGTAGTAGTGATGAAAGAGTCGATGATGTACAATTAAACCACCAGTACCTCGCCCGTCTTGAAAAAGCCGACGCGGCCGTTAACACGCCGCGTCGGGCGGGGTACCCACACACGGACGACCGGTATTCCCCAAAATACGGGCAACCAAAAAAAAAAAAAAAACCGACAAAAAT